AAAAAAGAAAAAAAAGAAGGGAAGAAATACCGTATTTACTCGTGTAATCCTCGCACTCACACAATTCTCGCACCTCCCACATCGCCCAACAAAAATACGATTTCTTTTTTTCCTCGAGTAATTATCGCACCCCCGAAAACTGCTGCAATAATGTCGTCTGCTCTTTCCAGCCACTGATGATAGCACACGTCATCTGGTGCCATCTCTTAAGCATCAAGCGTACAATTGCACAGAAATTCAATCCAACTCAAGCGAAGCCGAAGTGGCCAGTGCGCGTTGCGGCGTGTTTTGTATGCTGCGTCGGTAACCTTGTCAAGTTATGAGGTGATACTGAAGCTGTACGGCTGCTTTAAAGTTGCAAGTGATAGATAATGCACTAAAAAACGGCGACAGGGTCACCGGTAGGCCCTTGGGATTGACGGTAAACTTTATTTTTTAAGAAGGAAACTGCGGACAATTCTGTTAAATAGCCATCAGCCCAATACTGACGTCCCACGCTTACCTTTTGAGGGCTCCTGTTGAGCGGCGAACGCTACCACTACGCCCGCAACGTCCGCAAGCTTTACGTATGGTATTCTGATTCTCGACTATTAGCTTCCACTTTTTGTGTCTCAATTTAATCTTGTCTTGTGTTGAACCTCTGCTTTTATTGTTGAGGTAAGTTTTAATTAGCACTTCTTAAAGCTTGCTGTTAGTTGTTGGTGTGAGAATCCTGATTTGCGGCCACTTCGTTTTTTTTTTTCGCTCTGTACGTTTTCTCAGAAAGTTTTCCCCGCGTGATTCTCACACCCCCCAATTTTTCATCAGTTTTCCGGCAAAAAAAGTGCGAGAATTATGCGAGTAAATACGGTAAATATACAAAGGAAGAAAAAAGGAAAGAAAGGTAGGGGAAGAAGGAAAGATGGAAGAAAGGAAGAAATAAACAAAGAAAGGAAAAGGGGGAAAGAAATAAGGAAAGACAGAAAGAAAAAAGGAAGGAGAGGATGGGGGAAAGAAAGAAAGATTCAATGAAATGAAGAGGAAAAGAAAAAAAGAATAGAGAAAGAAAGGAAAAAGATAGCAATAAGCAAAAAAAGAAAGAAAGAAGGGAAAGTCAAACATAGAAAGAAGGAAAATGCCTGATGCCCGTGTACTTAGACTTGGGTCACAATTAATAACCCCAGCTGGTCGAAGTTTCTGAAGCCCTGTATTCACTATGACTACACCAGAACCACGTCGTAGTTATGGGAGGTTGTACCACAACAATTGCCATGATAATTAAGTAACACGCCTTCTGCCTACCACAGATAGAGGCACATTTACCTCAAATTTCGAACCTGATGGTGTATTGACAGCGGTGGATTTCAAACGGAAACGTTCGTTGGCAGTGTCGTCGTGATCGTCATCATCATTCAGCTTGACTACGCCTACTGCAGGTCGAAAGCCTCTCCCATGATCCGCCAATCAGCCCGGTCTTGTGCTTTTTGTTGTCACGTTATCCCCACAAACCTTTTGATTTTATCGACCCACCTAACTTTTTGTCTCCCCATCGTTCGTTTGTGTTCTCTGGGAATCCAGTCAGTTACCCTTAATGACCAGCGGTTATCCAGCCCACGTTCATTTCTTCTTCTTGATTGCAACTATATGATATCTTTAACCACGGTTTGTTCCCTGACCCACTCTGCTCTCTTCCTGTCTCTCAAAGTTGCCATTATAATTCCATGACTCGCTTCGTCGTCCTTAATTTAAGCTGAACCCTCTTGGTAAGCCTCCAGGTTTCTGCTCCGTATGTAAGTACTGCAGCAAGAGGCAGCTGTTATAAACCTTGTTCTTGAGGGTTAGTGGCAGATAACATTCAGATTTAAGAATGTTTGCCGAATGTGATCCACCACGCCATCCTTATTCTTCTAGTTATTTCTCTCCCATGGTTTGGCTCTGTGGTCCTAAGTAGTAATATTTCTTTACAACTTCCAGAGTCTCTCCGCCTATCGCAAAGTGCCTGTTTTTGCCGAGACTGTTACACATTACTTTTCTTTTGTGCATATTATTTGTCAGACCTAGTTTTCTGGTTTCCGTGTCCAGCTCTGGAATCTTGAGCTGTATTTCGTCCCCTGAGTTACTCACCAAGGCAATGTCATCAGTAAATCGCAAGTTACTAAGGTACTCTCTATTAACACTTATCCCCAACTCTTCCCAGTCTAGAGTCCTGAAAACCTCCTGTAAACACGCGGTGAATATCATTGGAGAGATCGTCTCCTTGCCTTATACCCTTCTTTATTGGAATTCTTTCGCTTTCTTTATGGAGAACTATGGTGGCTGTGGATCCTCTGTAGATTTCTTTCAGTAAGTTTATGTAGGACTCTTCGACGCCCTGATTCCGTAGTGCATGCATTACTGCTGATGTCTCGACTGAGTCAAACGCCTTCTCGTAATCTATGAAAGATATATGTATAGGGGATGGTTGTCTTCAGCGCATTTCTCTATTACTTGATTAATAGTATGAATATGGTTTATTGTGGAGTAGCCGGTACAAAATCCTGCTTGGTCCTTTGATTGATTGAACTCTGATATCACCTTAATTCTATTAGCTATTATTTTTGTAAGTAGTTTGTAGAGAACGGACAGTCAACTGATCGGCCAGTAATTTTTCAAGTCCTTAACGTCTCCTTTCTAATAGATTAACATGATTTTGGCGTTCTTCCAAGATTCTGGTACCCTCACCGTCAAGAGACACTTCCTATATAAGGTAGCTAATTTTTCTATCAGAATTTCTCCACCATGTTTCGGGAGCTCCGTTGTTTCCTTATCCTCACCAGCGGCTTTGCCTCTCTGCATTCCTACCAGGGCTTTCCGTACTTCCCCTGTCACTACTGGTAGTATGTCAAATTCCTGTGGTCGTTGACAGTGTAGGAACTCTCAAACATCGAAAAAAGCTTGACTAGCGCACTCATAAGCTTTGTTTTAGGAATGAACAACACTTTATCTGAAGAGACACGTATGTTTTCTTGAGTACATTGTGGTTTTCAAAAAAAAGTATATGGATATGCAATATTTTGTCCATTTTGATATGAAGAAATAACGTGTACTAAACTCAATACGATATTAATTTTTCCTGAGTGTTCGCAGTAACTTCAGTTCCAAAATTACGCCTCTGAATCTAAAGGCGCCTACTAATTGGCTTATTGCTCAGCTTCAATTCAGTGATGAAGAAAATGGTCGCAAAAAGAACACTAAACTGATGCGGAGGTCCACCATTGGATATTGCTTTGGAAGGATTATTCTATACCGTAATAGCATCCGCTTTTCTTCAAAGGCTATCTGTTTTTCACTCATGCAAAGCAAGTTTGATACATGTACAGAAAGACACGACATTAGAAGTCGACTGGACAACCAAGACGCCTTTGCTTTTGATGTCGAGTGTGTGCGGAGTCTGAGAGAGCACATCAGCGGTATGAAACGGCCCTTGCAATATGCAGTAGCATGACACGTGGATGCCTTCAGGTAAATAGCGTGACATTGCAGTAGATTGCGAAAAATAGCATAAAGATATGTAGAAACGTAAAGAGCTTATCTAATACATTGTCAGCCAAGGAACTCCACCTGCTCAAAAAAGTGGTATATTTCCCGCAGTGACAGCCAATAGCGTATTTTTCTGTCAATGTCTCCTAACACTCATAGGCGTCTTCCGTTCTCCACACGCCCATTCTGCACTAGCATTATTTTGTCTCTGTTTTGGCTAAAGCCTGCTCCAAGCTATAAGATGCAAGTCATTAGCAAAACATGCTTCACTCATGGTCATTCCTTCCCGCGTCTTTTCAATGAAGTTGGTCTTTCCCCATTAACTCTCCGGTTTTCCATCGTACTGATTGTCGGTGAATCGACGAGGAGCCAGCCAATGGCAATGAACGCAAACTGGGCTTTTTTAAATCCGGTTGCGTAAAACAACGAGTCTCACAAATTTGAATTAGGGAGTTTAGAAGACTTCTAAGCGTGCTCGGTGGGACTGCCACTCCAGTGCCACCGTTCCACTTTAAACTTCTGAAAGGAGGCGCCTGAGTCATTTGTGCTCTTGGCTTCGAAGCACTTGGCTTGTGGGCTGTGACCCCCTGAGGGAAAAGACATGTCTTGGTTTAGCGGATGCCGTGGGGCTTGGGCGGGGGGTATGTCGGGGATTGGAGAGGGTGGAAACGTCTGTCTTGCCCGTTTCTATTGAGCCGCATTGGGGGAGGTAAGAAACAGGGTTGGGGGAGGCGACCGGCAGCGGACGCAGCTGTTCTCGGTTTCGGGAGAGGAGGGTGTGGGTCGCGGACCTGCTGGCCCGTCTCTGACTTTTTCCTAGGTGACGCACTCTTCTTTGAACCACGCTGCCAACACATGAGAGACATCAGCAGCGCAGTCCTGCAGGGATCAACTGATCGCGCCTGCCGTTTTGTCTGCTTACGTATGGAGATTCGACGGTGTGCAAGGCAGGGTAAGGCGTATTGTGCCTAAAGGATGCGAAAGTAGACTAACTTGTTTTATCGTTGCGTAGGACGTCAGAGCGTTATTTCTCTCTTGTGATGCATTGTCCTGTTATCACGCATTCTTGGAGCAACGATGTGTCACTCGATCTGTTATCGGGGTCGTGCTGCATTTTGATAGTGTAACTCCGCAAAATGTTTCACTCAGCCGACGGATGTCACGGAGAAGCGATGGCTCGTTGACTGCAAAGTGGAGGCGACACGTGGAGCAAGCGTTCAGCTTTACTGGGAATACAGCTACGTTGGGAATACAGTCGGATATTGTGGAAATCACTGTAATGATGGTATGAGAAGTCAATTCGTGCGGCTCTGGAAGGTGTTCTCTCACGGTTTCGCAGAGAGGAATCGAAGCCTTCGTCCATCTCGGCCAGGCAACCATACAGTGTCCAATATGACTGCATGTACCTGAGATCAAGCGAGAACAACGACGGAACAAAATTATCGGACCACGAGCGTGTGCTCGCGAAGTTGGGGTCAAGCGAGATTCGTCACTGTGGATGGTGAAGAGGTTGAAACATGCCGCGTTTTGTGCGGGCCACTCAGCGAACTCGACTGCTGCTCGTCGTCGTCGTGGCGTTCACCGTGATATGCGGGGTTGCCGAGGACAACGACCGACGCGCCGCGGTGCGGTCGAAGCTGGCAACGGGTGGCGAAGCGAGCAGCGCGGGCGACGCACTCTCCGTCGCGACTGCCGCTGCGGAGGATTTGCGTCCCTCGGCTACTGAAGTGGTGCACGGCGGTGCTGCGTTGGTGCGCGGTGACTCCTCGGCTTCTGTGGCCGCTATTGGTATGGTGCACCAGCAGGAGAGTGTCGAACAGCGGCAGAGTGCCGCTGTCTGGCAGGGCCAGGCCGTCACCGTGGTCGGTTTACTGGGACTGACCGTCTTTGCGGTCATCGTGGCCGTAGTCGGACGGAAACTGTACCGATCTCGCAGGGACCGACACAATGGTGAGTGCGCGGACATTTGCCCTACCTTTCCTACAGTTTAGTGTTTTGTAAATAACGATGACTCGTCCACCTTTGTCGGAGTTGATAAGCTGACGTTTTATTGAAATTGCGGAAGCATTGTTTGCATTCCTCGAACTAGATAAACCCAGTTTGGGATGGTAGCAGGATTCTGTATTTTAAAGAAACAAAAAGAATATAAAAAGAAATAAGAAAACGTCAAAACGTTCCATTTAGCGAAAGAATATCGAATATCGCATCACTTGTGTCGATACCTAACATTGCTATAAAAAAGTAAACCGAGCGGGCAGTATTTATCGGGTCTGGTAATCGGTGCTCCACGGTATCGCGTATTTACCCACCCGAATAAATTTTCGCATGAAAAACAAAATAACGTTTGCCGACAAGAATCGGTGACGCCGTACGAAGAACGACATGGATGCCATAATTAGGTGACGCGTAAAATTCCGCCAGCACTAGGTCACGTGCTTGGGCAATTAAAGAGGACCCCCTCCCCCCCCCCACCCCCCCCCCCCCCCCCCCCCCCCCCCCCCCTCCCCCTGCTTTCATTTCACATATCGTTTCTTCGTTGGTAGGCAGTTCTGTAGCGTAGGAAACTTAAGTTTTGCGAATATTCCCACAGCGCATGCGCCAGATATTTAAACCTGCGGAGCACGCGCGCTGTTTTTCGAGAGAAACGTGCACAGCGTGATAACGCAAAGCCTACGTTCCGAGTTTCGAAACTGCCCGATGATCACGACGTTCTCAAAGTACCCAAACATGACTCCAGTTCTGTGCTGAACCGCGCAACGCACAGGTTTTCTCACAGTTCACTCAACTATTTCTGGTCGTTCCGTGAGGGTGGAGAAACTCTTTCGAGCACCCCTCAATCGTTCGCCTCCATGCATTCTTATATGCGATTGCGATAACAATTATCGCATGTTTACGTGGCATAGTTTGCGTGTTTGTGTTATCGGTGAGTTCATACTTATCAATGCGGAAGTTCGTAGTTGTCTGGATGCACGCTTGTGGTCTATGACATCTTTTGTCCTCTGCGTATGCGCCGTCATAATGCTCACAAAACGAGCCTTGAGCAAGAGCGAGGTCAATATCAGAGTGAAATCGCTGCACAATATTCCAGCGGTTTTCTTTAGCCAAGCTATACATCAGCCATATAAGCAGCAAAAAAAAAAGAGACAACCCAGAAACAAGCTCTCCTCGAAGGCCGTCTTTTCAGCAAGGCTGCGTAAACGGCAATAAACATTTCCTCTGCCGCAGCTTCCGTGTTGCATCGCCGTTTCGGCATTTTATGGACATCTTATTAAAAGAAGGTCGGAACTCTGTAAACCAAGGAACGACTCTAGCATACGTCAGGGCGCTCGAACTAATTCACTGCGAGCCTCGTTTCTGGGAATCACATAACTGTTTTATTACTTTTCGGTGAACCTCCGAGGAATAGAGTTCGTCCTGACGTCAATGTACCCCACCTCGTTCCTCTCATGCGGTCGCCGCAGGACGGCACCACAGCGCTCTAGTTTTTCTTATGAGCAAAGCCGTCATACCAATCATTTTAAAATGCTAAATTAACAAATGGCTTGCTCTCTGTCATGTCACGTGGACGCTCGCTGTGGTACGCAGAGCTTCAGGTCGCCGGTGCGATTTCTCGTCGCCGAGGTGGTCTCGTTTCGATTAGGACAAAGTTCAGGAAAACATCCGTGTTAGATTGACCTTTGATATTCCCAGGGAGTCAAAATTTACCCGGATGCACCCCACTATGGCATGTTTTATATATGATGGTTTGGTGGTTTCGATGCGTAAGAACCCAGAATTTAATTTTAATAGTATCATGCTGGATGTTGATGACGCCCACGTCCAAAACTTTTCGAAACCAATAGTATCGGTTTTTGCAGCTCCTCCGGTTCAACTAATATTCAGACTTAGTTCAAGCGCAGTTAAACGCAACCACTTAGCGTATGGCAGTAATGTGGGCAACTTTCTGTAACTTGGAATAATGAACTGTTGCTCCAATTTGTAATACATAATCATTGAAAACAGCGCGATTGAGCGTGGGACAAGACGACAAAAGCTGCAGTACAATCGCATACTAGTACACGTGGTTTTTTTTTTTTTTTCGCGCTCTTTTCATTCATCCACTTTTTGCGTTGGTTTTCGAGCACGTGTGAGCACTCCATCAACTTTGCTATTTGTTAAGCACCTGAACGCTTGGAGCCCTTTCGACCCGTGTAACTTCTACATTGCATACCTTGCCCCGCCTTTCTCCCTTCAAAGCTATCGTTATTTTCCTGGGAACCGCTCCGTGGTCAGGGCGCGCAATGCAAGCCGCTCCTTCGCGGGAAGGAGATCCGGTTTTTCTTCGCTTTGACGTCGTGCGCCCGCGGCGGCGCCTGCTGAGGCCGTGTGGCGGTGGGAACGGACCCGACTTCCAGCGCGTCGTGTTGCGTGCGGTTCGTTCGACGAGGCGGGGGGGACCTTTCTCTAAATGGGACGGCTGCTGCACCCTCGCTCCCTTTGGAACAATAAACTCGCGTGTCGCGATAACGCCGTGCACGCCGCCGCAAAGGGCTGAATAATAATCGCGCGCTGGATAAAACGCACGAAGGAAGAACGCCCGACTAATCAGCGCACGCTGCGATTCTCTCCTCCGCTCCGGATCGCCCCGGCTTTTTCCACTGGCGTGCGGCTCGGTTAAAATCGCGCCCCGCTGAGCAAACTGTTAAACAACACTTTTTTTTATTTTCCGGGTTCAGTCGTACATTATTCCCTCAGGTGTTCTATTCCGCCCTTCCCCCTCTGGAAGCCTCGCGGACTTTCCCCAGTACGTACACTATACGTCTACTTGTCGCGTGTGCGTACGGCATACGAGTCACGTTCTACAAGGCGATATCGGGGCCGCTGTTCGTTTGTGTGTGTGCTATTTCAGATTGCGGACAGTCGTATATTGTCAAAAGCTTCGCGTTATATAAATCCTGATGTGGAAGTCTTCGCAGATGGCCTGGTGATCAGGCTTTGTGTCTTGTATGCCCTGTTGGGGGGGAATGGCGTGGTAGTGTAGAATGCTGTGTATATCGGCATGTCAACAGCGGATCTTTTTTTTTTTTTTTATTGTTTGCAAAACCATAGCTAACCAGCCCATCGCTGCTCATAAATGAACGCGATGGTGCAATGTATTCACGTGGTGATCGCGGGATGCCACCTTAAGGTTATTAGGACGTCACAAGAAGGCTACTTCGTTATTCATGCTCAGTGTTCAATAAGCTTCCGGCCGCGTCGTTATCACATTGATGCTGGGCTGGCTAACCACAGTAGAATTACGTTGATTTGATTTATATGCGGAGGTCAACGTGCCAAAACAACCATATGTTTATGAGAGGCGCCCTAGGGGAGGGCTCCGGAAATTTCGACCACCTGGCGTTCTTTAACGTCTGAGCACAAATCTGAGCACACGGGCCTACGACATTTCCGCCTCCATCGGAAAAGAAATGCAGCCCTCGCAGCCGGGATTCGATCCCGCGACCTGTGAGTCAGCAGCCGAGTACCTTAGCCGCTAGACCACCGCGGCGGGGCAGTAGAATTACGTTGTGTGGGTATCATCATAATCGTCATCATCATCATCATAGCAGACACGTTAGAGGGCCAGTATTTTGAGATGTTGTGTTCGTAACGTCACCACTATCGACAGAGTGGCGGTGGCTATATAGTGTCGATGGGTTCACGACATGTCGCAGTTTTGTTTCGGGCGCACCACAGACAACGCTATCCAGCGAATGTGAATTGTTCAAGCAGCTTCAGTAAACACGTTCTTGTAGACGCGGTATGACTTTCACGTCAAAGCGCATGCCGATAAGGACGAGTGAAGGATTGTGACGAATACTAGAGAATTATGAGATTCGAAAGCACAGTGTCCGTGAATCCACGCTGCGTCGGGCGGATCGTGATTTTTTTAGCAAGACACATCTGCTGCATTTCGTCACTCACGGCAAGAGCCGTAGTCTATAGAGAGAGAGAATAAACTGCGGCTTGTTCGTGGAGTGTCTGGCAGCCTCGTAGCTCCCTTTCTTCCATGCCGCGGCGTGGCCCGTGCCAAGAACAACATCGTTCTAAGATCCTCGCCTCGGGCTTGTGTCAGAAAGAGGCGCGCGTTTAGCTGTCAGTTGCGTCACGCTTCATGTGTATACGCCATGCATAGGCCGTCTCTGTGGAATGCGAGGACCACTGCTGGGAGTCTCCGCACTTAGTTTATTTATCCAGGCACCTCGTTTGACCTACAGATGCATTAAAAAATGTGCGTGCGAGGGAAAGAGAGAGGAGTGACGGCCGTGGCTTTTCCCGCTGTGCCGACGGAAACGCTTAAACGCTTATACATAGCGCGCGCCAAATTACTGGCGAGCGCGATCTGGTAAACAAGCCACCGCGAGGCTCGGCAGTCACGTAGTCCCTGTTTAATAATCCCAACCAATACAAATAAAGTGGTTATGAACCCGGCGCACTGTCTTCTTCATTCTGGATCTTAAGCATGAGGAAAATGTATGGACACGGTAGTATAGTCTGTAAACTGTGTACGTCACAAGTGCGCAAGACACACGCAACCCAGCTTAACGCTTAGCAGGAATGAATATATGCCATTGGTATAGAAAAAGAAAAGGAAGAAAAGAATTCTTTAGGTGCGTCAAACGCACAGGCAGCGTTAAACGTTCATGTAACGGAGGCCCCCCACGGAAACGATCGAGACAAGACTGTCCCTGACTAGTAATTCAGGGCCGACGTTAACAAGGCCGTTCTTCATAGTATAAAGAGGAAAACAGTTTGCACGTGCGTGTTTCAGTCTCCCTAGTAGTCTGTTACCATTCCGAAGATTCCACGTAGTAGGATATATGTATGACCTCAGCTGCATGCGTTACCAACAAGCTTTAAACAGAGGCTCTCGAAACTTGTATATAGACAGGCACTTCGTATAGCATCATTGCAGAGAGCTCATACAGACA